GCGCGGAGCTGAGGGCGGCTGTGGCGACGCGAGTGCTCGTCCGCTTGCATCGCGCTCGGCCCCGGCTCCCGGCTCTCGGCCCGCGGCGCCCCCCGACCCTGCGCCCCCGCCCGCAGAGGACCGGCCATGTCGCCGCGGCGCAGCATCGTGGAGGTGAAAGTGCTGGACGTGCAGAAGCGGCGAGTGCCCAACAAGCATTATGTGAGTGCGGCGGCCCCCACGCCCCCTCGCCCTCCCGAGGCCACGAGGGCCCCGGCTCGGCAAACTTCTGCCTCTCGCGCGGCCTTCCCGGTCCCGCGCCGCTGCCCTGGTCCCCGGGTCCCCGGCTCCTCGGCTCCTCTCCCCTCCCCCCTCCCCCCTTGCCCCTTTTCCCTTACACCCCCCTTTCTCCCGCCTTGTCCCCTGCTCGCTTCTTGGCCGCACCCCTTCCCTTTTCCGTCCCCCCCCCACCACCACCTAGTCCTACTCATCCGTGGAAGTCTAGCCCCAGCCGGTGTAGGGGATCGGGAAACGGAGAAAGGGAGAAGAGACAGGGCACCCCGCCTGGTTCAGAGGTCCCCAGACCCGCGGTGCTCAGCCACAGGTAGCCTCTCTGGGGATCACCAAGTTTGCCTGGGTTCTTCTGGGAGAGCCAGTCCGAGCATGGCATGGATAAGATCACTGGAGTGCCCTCCTCTCTCGAGCAACTTCCTTTTAAAAACGTACCAAAGTTTCTTCCTGGCTTCTCCCTCTTTAAAATGAGAATCTTGTTTGAAGCCCTCAAGGACTTGAGAAATGAGCCAGTAGCATCATTTTGCAGATGGGCAGGCTGAGGCTCCAAGTAGCTGCAGATTCTAGAACACAGCTGCATTCAGGCCTTCCTTCCCTCTGAAACGTGTGCCTTGGATGCCCAGGGACCTGCAGGTGAAAAGGGGCTTCCACAGCAGCTTAGGGGCCATGTCTGCGGGCTCAGGTGGCCCTGGGCCCACCCTAGAGCTTGTAGGTGGTGAGCAGGCCTTGGGGAGGGGCTCCCTCCGGAAGGGAGGGGCTCTGGTGTCTCTGGTGGTGAGTAGTGGGCAGTGGCAGAGCTGGCTGGGAGAAGTTAACCAGGAAGGAAAAAAGAGCAAGAGGGAGGGAAAAAATCCTAACAAAGAAGTGCAGAACAATGACTAGAAAAGGGCGTTGGCTGGCCAAATTCAGTTCCTTGGCCTCCCAGGAAGCCCTCTTAGGATTTTTGATTTTTTAAAGAGACTCCTTTTTACAAAGCAGGTCTCCATGCCTTCCATGATGAACCTATAAAATTCTGAAAGGAGATAGTTGGGAATCCACTGTGCACTCCAGGAGAAAGGGTGTGCTGTGTGAGTCTGTATTGTTATTGGCTGGGCAGCCAACTATTCACCCCTTAGCCAGGCGGTGGGAAGCTATTTCCTGGACCTGTGGCATCTTGAAATAGATGAAGTTTCCTAGTACTGGGCTAAATTGCTCCCCCCTTTTTTGTTAAGTATTTAAAATTCTGCCAAATGCCAAATCATGGTTTCTTGTTGGAGCCTGTTGAGTATGTTGAGTTGCCTCCGTGTATGAGGGCAATTTTCACCAGCATGGCAACAAGAGGAGATGCTCCGTGCTGCCTCCTAGCAGATCTGTGAGCTGTGAGATACAGCCTCCAAGGATGGGCGTCTCTTCCACTCACTCTCTCCTGTCACATGCTTCCATGTGGCAGTGGTTCTTAAGCTCATTTGACAGATGAGGGGACTAAGGCTCAGAAAGATGAAGTCCTGTACCAGATATAAATCCAGATCTGCTAGACCCAAAAAGTGTTCTGCCAGACCACACTACTTCCTGGATCCCTTGCCCTCAGTTTCTCTGGACAGAGATCTCTCAAAAGCTAAGCAACCTGCTGTATCATTGGTGATGAGCTGGAGTGTTTGTTTCCCTGCCATGGGTTTTTGAAAGTTTTACAACTTTGAGGGACGCCTTTCTAAGCTTTCAGCCACTTTTCAGGGGCCCACTGAGAAAAATCTGTTAAAACACAGATTGGGGGAAAAAACACAGCTTGGGGTTCAGACTTGGCTGTGCAGCTTGCTGGCTGGTCTGAGCCTCAGTTTCCTCATCTGTAAGATGGGGGGTGCCCTCTTCCAAGGGGAGTGACCAAGTGACTGGCAGGAATGGAGTCCGTAACAGTTGTGTCCCTTGCCGGCCTGCCACATGATGTCCGCATCACTCTGAGAACACACTGAAATCAGACAAGGGCAGAGGGAGTTTCATCCAGAACTTGTTTTTCTGCATGTGGGTTTAGTCACTCCTGTGATTCAAGGGGCTCTCTGCTAGCAGGCCTTTGGGTTCATCAGATGAGGAGGAACAGTGGTGGTGAACTGAATCATCCATAGAAACAGAAAATTCACTGCCATAACAACAAGGGTCCAAACTCAACCAAACCAGACTATGTCACCCCTCCTCCTCCTGAGCGCCTGGCGCTGTCCCCACATACATACTCTAAAAGGAATGGGAGAGGGGACAGCAGTTGGCAGACCTGGACTTCACCTCCGATATGATGTCCCCCTGTCTAAAGGCACTCTGGAGAGTGAGTAGGGAACCTGAACAGTCCCAGGCTCTACCACTTTCTGCTGTGTCACCTTGGGCTGGTTGCTTTACCTTTCTGAGCTCTGGCTTCCACAATCTGCAAATTGTAAATTCTATTACAGCCATTTGGGGCCAAGTGTCTCAACTTCAACATTGCCGACATTTTGGGCCAGATCACTCTTTGTTGTGGGACGCTGTCCTGTAGATGGTAGGATGCTCTGCAGCATCCCTGGCCTCTGTCCACTGGATGCCAGTAGCAGCCCTCTCACCAGTTGTGACAACCAAACATGGGTCCCAGCACTGCTTGCTATCCTTGGTATTAGTCCATTTTTTGTTGCTATAATAACATACTTGAGGCTAGATACTTTATAAAGGAAAGAGGTTCATTTAGCTCACAGTTTGGGAAACTGAAAGTCCCAAGATTTTGGGCGGCCTCATCCATTTGCCCTCTGGTAAGGACCCTCTTGGCTGAGTCACAACATACTGGATGACATCATGGTGCGAGAGATCGTGTGGTGAGACAGGAAGCTAGAGAGACCAGGAGAGGCAAGTCATGCTCTTATACAACCCACTATCAGGAACTGTGAATGGGTCGGCAAGAACTAAAGGCAGCATCTGCTGACCTCATCACTTCCCATTAGGCCCCACCTCTTAAAGGTCCCTCCTACCACCTCTCACATCACCACCCTGGGGATCAAACTTCCCACACATGAACCCCTGGGTGGGGGACAGACCACAGCAGGGGTCATCACACACCCTCTACCCGAGTCATGGTGCTATAAAATATACAGTTCCATTATGGAGGGTCCTGATCCACACCCCCCACCACCACCACCATTTACAGCTACCTCAGCTGCCACTATCTGCTCATCATTCAGTTTCCTGGGCAGGAACAGTTCCTGGGTCCTATGGGCATCATCAGAGAGCTGCACCTGGATGGAACGCAGGGCTGAGCCACCAGAATGGTGTCTGCACGGCAGGATGACATCCACTGCTGCTCCAGCCCAGCTTCTATCACAACGGGACAGAGACATCCTTGGGGAGCCTCAGATCCTGACAGTGAGGAGGTGTCTGTCATGTTCTGTCTGAAGAGGGCTTCCCCAGAACCAGAGGTTTCGGGATGAATGGGGAGGGGCTTCCCAGTGTGAGTGCCCCAGGGAGACTACTCCATGACTGGTTGTCTTTCAGCTGGAGTGGAGAAAAAAGGAAGGGCTCTGTGGGACCTGGGGGTTTGTTGGGCTGCTGGAGAAGCATGCACAGAACACTTCTTTTAGCATGGAGTCACTGACTGAAGTCCAGAGAAGCTGCTGGCTGCTGGAGAGCTTTCACAATCGAGGGGCTAGCTGGTGGTAGGAAGCACAGCAGCAACCAAGCTGCATCTGTCACCCCAGGCCAGACACTGGATTAGGTTCTCTCTGCATATTTAGTTGTTAGATCAGCCCTTTAACACCACAGGTATTTTTCTGCTTCTATGAATCCAGTATTTCTAATACACAGATGCAGAAAGAATAAAATAAGTAGCTATCAATATGCCATCCAACCCAATGCTGTGGATCTCTGTTTGCCATATGCATTTCAGATCCTTTTACTTTTTAAGAAATAAACCATTAGCCTGGCACAATGGCACAAGCTCATGATCCTAGCTACTGGGAGGGTGAGGTAGGAGGATCCTAAATTTGAGGCCAGCCTGAACAACATAGTGAGGTCCTCATCTCAGAAAAGAAAGAAAAGCAGCAAGGAAGGAAACGTATTATAGCTGTAAAGCCCCCTGTATGTCCTCAACAACATAACCCCTCCAAAACCCAGCATCCTGCATTTGATTTTTATCATCCTTATGCTTTTTGTGGGGGGAGGGGTTACTGGGGATCAAACTCGGGACCTTGCACTTTCTCGAGGCAGGCGCCAGAAACACTGAGCTAAATCCCCAGCCCTCGTTATGCATTTTTAAAATGCAGACTACTAGATGCAATTTTTTTCTTTAACAGCTTTATGGAAGTGTAATTTTAAGTGTACAATTCACTGATTTTTTTAGTAAATTATAGAGCTAAGCAGCTTCACCACAATCTAGTGGTGATTTCTATCACCCTAAAAAGATCCCTGGTACTGATTTGCAATCAGTGTTCTTCCCACTCCAGTGTGGGCACCTTTTAATGTCTTTACCTTTAAACATTCCCCCAAATCTTGTATCATCCTGAATGTTTTTAAAACTGCACAAACACATCATGCTTTTGAGATCTATATTTGATACACATGTAGCTCTAGTTCATTTTAACTACTGTGTAGTATTCCATTTATTGATACACCCCTCTTTATTCAAGCTCTTGTTGGGGACTTTTAGAGTGTACCCAGCAGTTAACTTTATTGGAGCTACTTCTGTGTACACACACTGGCATAAAACAACTGGTGGGGTTTGTGTGTGTTCAACTTTGCATTTACATCTGGGGTCCCCTTTGCTTTGTACCTTGCTAACTCTCTGTCTTAGTAGACTTTAGTTTGTGTCCCTCTGATGGGTATCAAGTTGTGATGTTGTCGCCCTTTTCTTGCTTGCTAGTAAGGCCAAATGGTTTTTTCACACCTTTGTCAGCCATTTGAGATTTCTCTTCCATGAATTTGCCTGGATTTTGGGGTTTTTTTTTCTGGTA